ACCTTAAGAAGGATTTTAACGTTGAGACTATAAAGCTCTAGTTATTAGCATCCAAAGGCCATCAACAACATTAATGTCGATGTCCTTCATCACTGATATATCATAAAAAATTAATCATATTTGAGCATGAATCTCAAATATGATTAATTTTTGAGATTCGGGCTTAAATAAATAAAATAAAAATAAAAAATAATAATAAAAACAAAAATGGGCATGAATTTCGAGGCAAAATTGAGGTGGAAACTTGTAAACTTAAATTCGTGAACATCCGAGCTCCGATTTCAGGAAACTTACAGTCGAACTAAACATCTTGAAAAGACGAAACCAGCGATACCAAATTCGGCCCAATTCAAGGCCAAATTGACCCAAATCAAATATCCGAAGCATATTTGGAAAGTTCAACCATAAATTGGATATCCAAACAGCTTCTAAATGTGGAAAAATTATTGCGTCCTCCCACCTGACGTAGAGATACGTCCTCTCAGAGCTAAAATCGTGCTAAAAAATGAGAAATACCGAGCAAATACCCAGCAATACCAAACAATAATGAGGAATATCATCATGTGAAGACCAATACCGAGTTATACCGAGCTATACCGAGCAATACAAAACTCGGTATTGCTCGGTATAGCTCGGTATAACTCGGTATTGGTCTTCACATGATGATATTCCTCGTTATTACCAAATAATACCTAGCAATACCGAGCAAAAATCGAGTTTTTTGGCGGTGGGAGGACGTATCTCTACGTCAGGTGGGAGGACGCAATAATTTTTCCTAAATGTGACATGCTCATTGTCGAATTGAGCAGCTCGTCTAGAAGAATCCAACGAGCTCAAGATCGTCGAATTCTGATATCTTTAAAACATTCAAATGCTAATAAATGGTCAATGATCAAGGGAGTCGATATTGGAAGTCCATTCAAAACACTCCCAACATGACCTTGATCTTCTCCCTATTTACTGATCATGTCACTCCCAAAAAATTATAAATATGCCCCTTATTCTTCATTGAAAGGGACCCAAGCAAGAAAGAGAAGGAAGAGAGAAAATTTCGAGTTCTCTTGCCATTAGATTCCTCCTCCTCGACCACCACCCGGGCACTGACTGTCACCAAACTTTTGCCCGGCCACAGACTATCGTCAGACTATCTCCAGACTTTTTCCCAACCACCAACTATAAGTATCATCGAACTTCATCCTGGCCACCAACTTAATCCAACAACGATATTGTCGAATTTCTATCAGATCACTGTTCGTAGCAAGATTTCAACCTGTCGATTGACTGTTGTAATTTGATCGTCCTCAGTCTTAAGGACTAACCAATTATTTGTAATATATTCAAATACTAGTGGAATCATTTCAATTGAGCGTATTCTCGTGATTTTTCCCTTCAGGATTTTTCATGTAAAAACTTTATTGTGTTTTTACTATTTTTCTTTGTGAGCTAGATACTCGTACAACACTAAGATGCACAATTTATCCTACTTTACCACCATGAATCAACAATCACTAATAAGATAACATTAACATTGATGTCCATTATTGCCAACAAAGTTTATGTCTATCATCAACACTAACACTATCACCCAATGATACTATCTATCGACAACAACATCAAAACATGTAACAATCGGTGTCACAAAGAAGGCCACCAACCACTATCAATGCCAACATTGATGCTTGTAATCACCACTAAGGTTGAAGAATGCCATTATCGACATACCTTAATTTTAGTCATCTCCAACAAGCTCAAAACTTGCCATGAACACCTACATCAATGTTCATAATCTCCACCATGGATAACATCTGCTATGGCTAATAAGGTTTATTCCCTCCATCTTCACCATATCTAATCCAACTTTCCTAGTCGTTTGCCTCCCCTCCTATAATTGGGATTTTCTGTTTAGATAAAATTGAAAAAAAAAAAATCAAAATGATCTTATTTGAATAAAAAAGCAAAGGTCCAACGACATCAATCAACCGGTGAACGCTGGATACAGTGATGCTCAATTGGAGTTTTCAGATTCTTCAAGCCTTCGAGCTCTTTTGAATCTCTAGCCAATGCTCCTTTTTATGTAGAAAATAGAAGTTTATTTATAAAATTTTGAGAGTAATATGCCACATAAATATGGAGAAAATAAAAAAAATAGTCATTTGGACAACCTGCATTGATTCTCTTAATCATAAAACTTTCGTTCAGCATCTAAATACTTTAATGTTGTCAGAATTGAGTGACATCGAGCTTGTTGAATTTATCACATCAATACGCTCAATTTGATTGTAAACATGCCAATTTTAAAAGTCATTTGATCTTTCAAATAATATTTCAAAATTTCTAACAATGTTTTAACCTCTTAATCTGAGCTTATTTTGTCTCAGATCTTATCACTTTTGATGCATGTGTTCGTCTTATCAAACTAAACTATTTGTCCATAATTTTGTTGATATTAGAGTTTGGATGTTCATGAAATAAATTTATAAATTTGCAATTAATATGTGCATCTAACTTGGCATTTAATTAAGCCAATTTTTTTATAATGTATTAACTTATATATATATATCAAATAACTTACTTTAATTACTCTTTTAAACAACAAGGGAATATTGTAGCCATTTCTCAATATTGCTAGAAAGTTCATCATACTTTTTGCATATGTACTTAATGCCTATCTAACTTATCGCCTTACGTAGAGTCAACATATATTATGTGCGGAGTCCAGGCGGTAGAATCGTCCGAATTTGTTGAATATTTGTAAATACTCAACAAATTAGTAAATACTCAATAAATACTCAACAAATATTTACAAAATTCATGAGTATACTCAACAAATAGTCACAATTGAATATTTGTTGAATATTTATTGAGTATTTTACAAACACTAGGCAAATACTAAGCAAATCTGACCAATTCTCCCGTCTGGACTCCGCATATAATAATTTCTCCAACTAGATAGAAAAAAAAAGTGCTTACTTAGAAGTGTCTATCAATCAAATCAACCTAACAGTATCAAACACTACTATGACTCCTTTATCAATTTATATCTTACTGTTAATAAATATTCTGTGTTAATTATGTTATTTTTTATTATTGTAGAATTAAAAAAAAAAATAGAGAGAATAAAATATTTTATATATATATATATATATATATATATCAATAAGAATATGAATAATGACTAAGCTCATATAATCAATATTTTTTAGGATTATTGCAAAATAAGAGCCCTTCAAAATGAGAAAAATACTCTAATAATAAAATCAAAATGAACCCCTAATTCTTTATAAATGGCCAAACTAATCCTAACCATTTAAAAATCTCATTTTAATACCTTAACTTTTTAAATAATCATCATAGACTAAGATTTCATTTGGGATATCTTTTTTATTTCTTCTTAAAATAGCTTTCTAGTTTAAATATTAAAATTTTTATACTAGAAAGCTGCTTTAAGAAACAATAAAAAAGTCGTCTCAAACAAAGCCTTTCTTTCTGTTTCTTAAAGCAGCTTTATAGTACAAAAATTTTTAACTTGTATTAAAAAGTTTTTCTAAGAAGCAGAAAGAAAGCCGTCTCAAACGAAGTCTAAGGCTTCGTTTGGGACAGCTTTCTTACTATTTTTTAAAGCATCTTTCTAGTCCAAAAATTAAGCTGTTTTTAGAAGCAATAAGAAAATCATCCCAAATAAAAGGTTTTGTTTGGGATATTTTGCTTACTTCTGCTTTAGAAAGCAGTAAGAAAACTATCTTAAACGAAACCTAAACTACTAATGAAATATGAAGGCAACAACTTTACTTCAAATCAAGTGTTAAAAATTCATTAATTACAGCAGAAATTAGCATGTAATTATTGCTCAGATCAACATTTTTTTGTGATATAAAGCTGACATAGAAATGCATATTTCTCAATAGTGATGACCTATCCAGATATTTCAAAAAGAGATTTTTCACAAATAAAAATATCAAACAACACTTTCTAATGTTTGGAATGTAAATCTTCCAATGAAGAAAATGAACCGAAAAACTTCTGCAAACCAGTTCTTAGCATCAAACAGCAGATTTTAAAGAATGGCAGAAAGATTCAGTTACTCTTCTTTGAAATTAGCAAATTAAAAACTGAATGGGAAATTTGACATAGCATGTGTATGTTTGGAACAATTTTTTCACGATTATACTTTTAGATAGCTGTCACAATTTTATTTGACTATAATTTTTTTTTGTTGCTTTTAAAAAATCATATGATGAGAAGCATTTTTTTATAAACAAATTTGCTAAAATATAGTAACAATGAAAAAGTTGTCCAATTATATTAAAAAAAAAAAACTTAATGATACCTACAATAGCATTGAAAAGTCTACAATAGTCGCTCAACCATAAGTAAATGTTCAATTTAACCTCAGACTTTCATAATATCTTAATTTAATCCCCATACTATTTGAAAATACCTCAATTTAATCTTAAGTAATAATTAAAGTTAACTCTAATAGTTAAATGTGAAATCATTTTGTGTGTTGAAGTGTATGTGAAATTATATTATTATTTTTATATATTTTATCATTTATCATATTAAAATAAATACAAAATTAATAATAAAATTAAACATTTATATTAATTATCACTCTTGTTATTTAGTTACTTAACTTCCCTTATGATTTTTGAATTATTTTAATATAATAAATACAAAAATAATATAATATTACATACATTATAATATTCAAAATACCCTCACATTTAACTATTCATATAAATTTTAGCTATTACTTTTAACATTAGGACTAAATTGGGATGTTTTCTAATAGTCGGACGATTAAATTGGTTCATCATAAAGCTATTCTTACAAAGAGTTGTAGTTGCTCCAAATGCACCCTAAGCAATAAAAGTAGCATGGTCAAGTTATCATGATAACATCAATTGATTTTATATGTTTCATCATATACATTAAATTTAGTTAATAACATTTAATATGGTAATTATATAATTCAAAAAATTAATGACTATGTCGGTACGTCCTGATATCATCATTGCAATTTTTACTATGACAAAGGTTACAAAATTTATAAGAAAATTCATAACTCTTATATCTTCATTAACAAATCTAATGACATTCGCCATTCTTATAAATAAAAGTTGAAAATACCCCAGCTTTCAGATGCCAATAATCCCATATAATGAACCAAACATAAACAAAGCTACAAACAGATGAAAATAATTCAAATCCAACAACTTAACATCCTAAATATTTTCTTCCTCTGCAGCTTTTGAATTCCACCAATCATATTTTAGAAGTTTTCATGCAAGGGTTTGCATTTATAATAAGGATTCAAAAGAGGGATGGAGAAACCTGGAATTATATTTTGTTCAGCTTTTCTGGTGCACAGCAATAACATGAATGTCCATCTCCTTGAGCATGACGGCACGGCCACATGAATCGCAAGGAGCAGTTCTCGAACCACAGATGCTTTCATGTTCTGAGAGTCCTCGGAGCCGGTCACGAGCATCAACTGGCATGCTCCCTGCTTCGACCATGTCGCCGCAGAACCTACAGGCAATCAGGCGCAATGGACAGGTTGTAGACTGGTGTTGGACCTGCCATAAAAGGAAACAACAGTGAGAAAAAATGACAGACAATATAAGATGATCAAAAACTTATAACCAAACCAAGTATAACTGCTATAAGAGAATTCATAAGGAAAACAATTTGTCACTTTGCATCTCAAATCCTAAGGTACTAACGGGTCGTGTAATAGAAATTGATGCAACAAAAGACTGCGTGGTTACAAACGGAACACCAGCAAGGAGTATTTTCCCACCATTTTTAAACTCCTCTGTCACAAACATGCGTTATCAAAGATAGGAGTAAAGAAATGTTATTAGAAAGGAAATTTATGCTCAGAGAAAAACAACACATAAGAGTTATTAATAAGCCTAATAGAAATAATAGGATGAAAATGACTGTTTTAGTTGGAAGTAGAAAGCTGATGGCACAATTGAGAGGTATAAAGAAAAGAATGTTTGCTAAAAGTTACGACGGGCAAATGTAATTGACTATCAAGAGAAGTTTGCCCTATGGAAAAAATAACCACGGAAGGAATTATGTAATCTCAAGTAACCCACTTCAGCTAGCAACTTTAATAGTATGATGCAAAGAATACCCTCTTGCGTGAGGATCTAAATGAAGGAATTTAAATTGGGATTTATTGGGAAGGGAATGGACGATAGGGCATCTAAACTGAAAAATGCCCTATATGGATTAAAGCAATCTCTTAAAGCTTGGTTCAAAATATTTGATAAAATAATGATAGGAATATGATACAAACAAAATCAAAGAGATCATACCCTCTTCATTAAGCATTCAGTAACAGAGAGAATGAAAACATTCATATTATGTTGATATCATTGCTATCAAAAATAATGAAGTTAAACAAAATCTGAGATAGATAGTGTTTAATCAAGGAGTTTGAACTAGAGGAACTTGAAAGACTAAAATGTTTTTATTGGAATAAAAAACTCATACTAAAAGAAAGGTAACTTCATTTTCCTACAAAAATATGTAACTGATCTCTTAAATTATGAGAATGGTAGGAAAGCTTGTCTACCTTTCTCATACTAGTCCAGACATTGCATACTCAATATAACAAGTTCAAGCATGACATGAGGGAGCCTAAACTACAATTGTCTATCATGAGCTGCACTACCTAAAAGTTAATCAAGGTAAACGAGTTTCATTCAAAAGGACTAGCAAACTCGCACTAGAAGCCTAGATAGATGCATAATATGCGGAATCGTTAGTGAACAAAAGATCAATATCAAGTTCTTGCACACTTCTTGCAAGAAATTTAGTAATATAAAGTGAAAAAAAATAAAATGTGGTGGCTAAATCTAGTGTTAAATAAGATTTAAGGGCTATGGCCAAAGAAAATTATGAATTATTATAGCTAAAAGTATCTTAAATGAGCTAAAAATCAAGTGGGGATGACTTACATAGTTGTATTCTGATAATAAATCAACAATAATCTAGTTCAACATGATCATACAAAACACATTAAGATTAATAAACGCTTAATTAAAAAAAAAAACTTAAATAAGGGTTACTCTACAAATCTTATGTCTTAAGGAAGTGACAGACGCTTTAACTAAAGGAGTAAGTTGAGAATGTTTCATTAGATCATCACCTACAGAGAATAGATGACATCTACTCTCTAGCTTATAGGGGAGTGTTGGAATCCACAAATTTTTGTGATGAAGAAAATCAAGATCTCAAATATTCATGCAAGAAAAAAAAAATCCTATGAATTCACGCCAAGATAGAAAATCATAGTCATCAATCTTGGCCAAGGAAATCAATAACTAGATTGGGTGTGAAAAGCATATTAGGAATCTCAATCAGATCGTATATAAAAAGGTTTCTATTTGTATAATTGTAGGAACTTTGTCATATTTTAAGGAGTGGATCTACAGTGGGAACCCAGGAGGCATGGGCCCTCACTAGCCGATAAAAGCCCACAACATGCAAGCAATAAAGGCCCAAAATCCACAATAATTTATTTTTGAAAATATATCTTTTATTATTTAATGTGAAATAAGATAATCATATATTTTTGTATAATACAACTAATAGAATATAGAATATAAAATTTAATTATTTATTAAAAATAAATATTGATATTCTTAGAAGATTAAAATATTATTTTACTATGAACTATTAAATAGAAAATCAAAAGAAATCATCAAAAAAAAATTAAGAGTATTTTGAAGATCATCAATTTGTGCCCCCACTAATAAAAATTTATGGCTCCACCCTATTTTGATTTCGTTATTTTATGTTGTCTTCTTGCAAATACTTGGTATTAATTAAAAAAAATTGTATTCTCTACTCCATTTTTCAAATACTCTGAATGAATAAGAAAAATTTTTATATTCTCATCAATTGCCAAAATTTCTAAGATCATTTGAACATATAACATAAATCAAAGTTTTCTCAACATATAGATTTGATTGCATGAGAAAATAATTGCGATTACATTTTGTGAAATCTGTCAAATGAGTTGAAATAATATAATTAGTAAATGATAGTACATGTGCATTTAATAGTTTAATTAATGAAATACATAAGTGATGCTAGACTTAAGTACTTTTCTCAGTTGAATGATAATCTTTATTTTGTTCATATGCTTGTCAAATGATTAAATTAATATGAAATGAGAAGTCCACCAAATGTTAGTTAATGATATTTAATATGTATCCAATAGTTTTAGTTAATGATAGTTGAAGCTACACTTCAAGTGGGATTTTACATACATATATATTCAAATATACTATTTGAAATTTTTTCATAAAATAATGCCAATATAAAAATCCTTTTGGGGGGATTTTTATATCTAGCACTAAAAATCACCATGTTACTTATTTAACAAATATATTTCATTATTTGCTCACACAACACCCAAAATTTTAAATAACATCAAAAATAACAAACTCCTTATCATCTCCTTTACCATTTCATCACAGCCATTGGTTCCATCTTCACTTCCTCATCTTGACACAGCTTCCTCGTCCTATCACAACTTTCTTGTTCAAATCCCTTAAAGTTTTTCTAATGATTTTTCTAGTCATAAAAGCCCTTCCTGTATCTCTCCAAACTTTGAAAAGAACTGAAGAACCTTGATCTGGTCAATATCAATGCCCACATTGCTTAATTTATATCTTCCCTTGAGTGTACACAAATGCTAGAAAAAAACTGGAAGAAGTATAAAAAAAGGCAAGGCATGAGTAGAGGCAGAGGGAGGACTTTGTTGCAAGTTGGCAGGCAGTTATCTTATTATATATTTTCTTTTGAGTGTCCTTTAACACTTAGCGAGTGCCACAGAGTCGTGCCTTCCACACCCAAAAGCATCCGAGCAAGATTCAGTTGCAACTTCCTTGTTCCTTGCGGTGGTTCCCAAACGGACGAGATCTTGTTGCCCTTCCTTCATCATTGGGGCCTCGAGGGATTTGTTCATTAATGAAAGTTTAAGTGTTTAGGTGTTATATTTTGTAAATAATGAAGTTTCGATGTTAAATATATAAATGAGTGAGTTTTTAGTGATATGTTCTAAATCCTCTATTATTTTATATATCCATAATGCATGTAAGCCTTAATATTATTTATTTTTATGTAATTTAGTATTGAAATAATTTTGTCATTTCACATGATAATTTAAGAAGACATCAGTAAAAATAAAATAAAATGCTTACATCAATTTATTAATTTAAAAAATACAAGTAAACTTAATATATGGCTTGAAAATCTCATTCTTATTGCAAAAAGCTTATCATGAAAATTAAGGTATGGGAACTTAGTGATTGCACAGTCCTACTGGTATTACTCAAGATATAAAATGGCATTCGAAAGAAATTCTTATTCCAAAAAGCTAAGTGCATGCACATTCCTATGGCCTCTCAGTCACTAACAGTGCAGCAAGGTTTGAACAGAGAAACAAGAAAGTATTATAGTTTCTTACCATTTCTTCCTTCTCTAGAATCACCCCACATGCGCAGTCGGTTGGCGCATGAAATACCTTCATATGCTTTTCCATCTCCCCAATTTGGAAAGCTTTTCTACATTTTACACAATGCACATGGTCTGCAGCCTCTTCTTTCCTCAGAACAACACCACAGCCATCATGCTGACAAATAACATTGTGCCTGATGCAGTATGCCTCATGAAGTAAAATGGTGCGACTAGAAATGTGGTGCCTGCAATTTCTACATTTTACTGAGTCAACATCTACTTGAGACGAAGCACTGGCAGTCCGGCTCACTCTTGGGATGTTGTTTTCTTTAAGAGACACAGATATCTTATATCTTGCCCATCCCTTGAAGCCAAAGACACCAATGCTATAAGTATCTGCCACCATGTGTGCATCCTTTGAACTTAGTATCAAAGTCTTTGAACCCATTTCATTAGATGACCACTCATGACGGTGTTGGGTAGGAAATACCAAAGGATGGCGAGAAACATATATATCAATATCCCCATCAGATGCATCAACTTCGAGTTTGACCTCAATATTCATGCATCCAGATGCAACTTTCTCGTGGATATTTTCATCTAAGGAGAATTTATAATAAGTAAACTTTCCTTCCTTGACTCTTCCAGATTCAGCCTTTCCAAATGCAAGTGGCAGAAGCACAGGTTGATGCTCAACCTCATCCAACATAGAATCAGGTCCCTCAATGTCAACTTCAATATCCGTTTCTAGGACAGAAACACTTGATGCAGGTTTTAGCTCAAGAACTCTTAGCTTATAGTTCAATTCCCCTTGATTAACAATAATAACCTCTCCCTGAGAAAGTGTCGCATGCTTCCGAAGAGTAGTTTCAAGCACAGCCTTATGATTTGGAATATCAGAAAAACCCATACTTTCTGGTTTTAGTTTAGCATAAGATCCTTTAGGCAAGCTTACGTAGCACACTTCAATTATAGGCACCTCCGGAATTTCATCAGAGAATAAATTTTTCCAAACATGTGGAGGTAGCTCCACAGATCCTTCCATTGCAGTGAATTCCAAAACACCAGAATGTGTTGTTCCAGGCTCTTGTTCCTTAGAAAGATTAGGTTCTACAGAAGCCTGCCTATCAATTCTTGAAAGTTTAAAATACATGGGTCCCTTATCCAAAGCTCCTTTATCAGATAACTCAGTAAAACATGATGGCGGTAACTTTATCTTATCTCCATAACCAATATACTGAAGAGCTTCAAGTGTTCGTGAAAACACAATTCCATTACCGATAACTAGGGCTTCCGCCAATTGTTGTTCTTCCTGTGCCAAATAGATAAATAGAAAGAGGTCAGCCGAATAATTATGGTAGAGAGAAGGTCGCTTGGATACTTCTAAAGATGGAAAAAACATCTTTGTTATTACTAAAGAAAAATACATTAAAACCCAACCCAGTTACCAAACATCTTGCCAGGAAACCCACAATAACTTAGAAATTTCAAGTGCGTCGAGGTTCAAAAAAGAGGGTTTTTTTTCCAAACAGTCAAGATCATTGAAACACTGGAGTCAAGATTAACATTAGGGGGATTTACAATATTTCTTGTAAGTAATCAAAATCAAATAGAAATGCTAGAAAACATAGTGTATGAAAACAGCATTTGCAATAGAAACATTTCATTACACAAAAAGATTTAATTTGAGAAGGACTAAAATTCATCCACCAAGCAATCAAATTCATCCACCAAGCAATCATGATTGCTTGGTGGATGAATTTTAGTCCCTCTCGCATTAAATCTTGTTGTGTAAAGACATGTTTCTATTGCGAACGCTGATTGCTTGGTAAGAATTGATCCCTATAATAACCTGGGAGGAAGCCTTTCCATTTAATCAGGAATCTAAATTCTGGGCAATCATGACAAAGCAATCTAAATTCTGGGCATTTAAGAATTGATCCCTATAATAGCCAGGGAGGAAGCCGTTCTGTTTAAGTAGTTTATAAATCAACTCCCAAGACCGATATCAGAATAAGGCATCAAAAGACCAGAGAAACTTCAACAGCCGATACGAAAAGTTATCGGGACTGGAAAATATCTACTGATCCAGATAACTCACCCAATTAAATCAAACCACTCAAAAAAATCATCTCACGGAACCCTAAGAAAGCTACTGCCGCTTGACACACGTACAGACATGTAAAGCCGGGAAACGAAAAACAGCCACAGATCACAGCAAATAATTATAAACCACGCCCAAACACAACAGTTTGAAGAGAAAGAAGTTTCGAACTAAATATAGAAAGGAGAGGAGGAAGTTGCGAACCTTGAGACGAGCATTCTCAACTTCGATCCTTCTTGCACGGTGGGCGGCCTCAACGGCCTCCCGGCGGCTAGCGGCCTCTTCTTTAGCCTTCCTCTCTCTCTCCGCCCTTGCCTTGGCCCTCTCTTTCCTCTCTCTTTGCTCTCTCTCCAACTTATCCCGGGCAGCCCTTAGCTCGAAATCCATCTCACACAAACACTAACACCCTCTCTTTCTTTCGCTCTCAGAGATCGAAATCTGTGCTCTTTAACGAGATGAATGAGACCAGGGTAGCAAATTTGGTAATCGACAAGCTCGACGATGGCTTCAAAACTCGGGACTCGACTTTAGATCCCTTTATTTATAGCCCTCAAAGTTCTTGAAGGACACGGAAACTAGGCGGGGCTGAATCAGCGATGACGACGACTCGGCAGCGACCCGACTCGGTGGCGAGTGTGAAAGTGAAGCTTTTTTAAAAAAATTATTATTATCATATAATTGCAAAAATCCCTTTTTAATAGAAAATAAGGAAATATAAATTAAAAATAATAATTTTTTATTGATTTGATAATTAATGATAATCAAATTTGAATTTGTGTTTTTTATTTTTTTTTGGAATTTTTATGCTATTGTGAGTTTGATAATTTAGTTGGTAAAATTGTAAAATGGTATTAAGATCTTGAAATTGAATATTATTTATATTAAATTTATATACTAAAATTAAAAAATGATTGTTGCATCCAAGAGTTCGCGGCAGTAGAGAAGTATAAAATTTAATGTCTTAGTTTTGTACGAATATCCATCACACATAAAGATAAAAGTAAAGGTTGTATCATTCATAAAAGACACTAAGATTTTTTATGTAGAAAACCCTAAAAAATGGAAAAACCACAGGGTCTAGCTCAATTTGAATGAATTCACTAGTATTTGTAGTTAATCACAAATAAGTCTCTTCATTGAAGGGAATGTATTGGCTTGATGTATAATACATCATATAGAGTGTGTTACATGGAGGAAATATGAATCATCACTATTAACATGTTTGTTTGGTCGGAAGGACTATCGTCGGTGGGCGACGGAGGTCGGAAAAAACATTGTCTGGCGACAAAGGTTGGAATGATTATTAATTGGCGATGAATGTTGGAAGGACCGTATTTGGAGGGCGATTGATATATAAAGACTGTTGTCTAACGATGGAGGTTGGAAGGATCGTAGTTAGGCAAAAGTCCATCGTTAGGTAGAAATTCAGTGATGGGCAGAAGTCTAGCATCGATTAGAAGCCCGACAAAATTCTAGCGACAGGTGAAAGTTTGGTGTCCGGTAGAAGTCCGATGAAAGTCCAATGACGAATAGAAGTTAGGCAACAGACAGAAGTTCGGCGTTAGGTAGAAGTCTGGCAACGGGGAGAAGTCTGGTGATAAGTGAAAGTTCAGCGTTGGGTAGAAGTCTGACGACGAGAACAAGTCTGGTGACGGGCGGAAGTTCGACGTTGGGTATAAGTCCGGCGATGGGTAGAAGTCCGGTGACGACGAAAGTTTAGCATCGGGTAGAAGTCTGAAAAAATTCTAGTGGCAAGCAAAAGTCTGGTAATGGGTGGAAGTTTGGCATTTAGTAGAAATTCGATGAAAATTTGGTGACAGGCATAAGTCTAGTGATGGGCAGAACTCTTACGCCGAGTAAAAATCTGACAAAACTCTAGCGACACGCATAAGTTCGACGACGTGCGGAACTCTGACATCAGGTAAAAATCCGATGAAAGTCTAGAGACGGGCATATGTCCGACAATAGCTAGAAGTTCGTCTTCAGATAGAAGTATGACAAAAAAGTCTACTGATGGGCAGAAGTTCGACGTCGGGTAAAAGTCCAATAAAATTCTGGCGACAGGAAGAAGTCGGACGACTGGCGGAAGTTCGACGTCGGGTAGAAGTCTGACAAAAGTCTGGTGACGGGGAGAAGTTAAGCGTTGGGTAGAAATTCGGCGATGGGAAAAATTCTGGCATGTGTTGGTGGATGGGAGATGGTCAAGGAGTCTGATGGCAAGAGAACTATTCCTTCTCTTCATTCTCTTATTACTTGGGTCACTTCTTTCTCATTCTCTCAATGAAGAATGAGGGGTCTATTTATAGTTTTCTAAGAGTGGCATAGCTAGTAAATAGAAGGAAAATCAAGGATAAATTGGGAGTGGTTTGAATGGACGACTAATGTTGAATCTATTGATCATGGACTATTTATAGGGTATTTTAATGTCTTAATGATATTAGAATTTGACAATCTTAGGCTCGATCACTATAGGAAATTCATCAATTACCAACGATCTGGACTGGCGATTCTCCAACCACCAGTTATAACAGTGGCTTAACCGACGGTTTGAAAGCCAATTTTTATCGATGGTCTGACCGGCGGTTACATAAATTAAAGCCACCGGCAATAGCGGTGGTCCAAAAATTGCTGGTTAACCTACCGGCATTAAATCTTACTGGTGCGTTACCGGCAGCATGAACCGCCGCTGTTAAGTAAATTATTTTTGGTGGTCCAAACCGGATGAAAGCTATTAGAAAATGCCCTAGAATAAGCTGTCCCGAGCCTTCCATTTCATTTCATCCCTTGCTCCTCTCTCTCCTGCGCGACGCTCGACCCCGTCTCCTCCGCCCTCTCACGATCGAGACGTGCCCTCCGCCACCGACGAGGTCCCTCTGGCTGCCAAAAAGGTCCTCCAAATGAAGATCTCGCCCCCACTATAAGGCCGGAAATCTCTCCCCGCTAGTGCGCGAAACCGGCCTCCGAGGTTTGCATTTTTAGTTTTTTTTTTTTTTTTTTTTTTTGTTTTTTTTTTTTTTTTTTTTTGAAGTTGTTTTTTATTTTGGACAATGTCAAGAGGAATTGGGTTACATTAAAGTTATTTTTTTATTTTTTATTTTTAAATTTTGAAGTTGTTTTTGCTTGGTTGGATGAGGGGCTTGACCCTTAGAGATAAGATACGAAATTAACATATACGTGATAAGGTTGGAGTAGCTCCAATGGAAGATAAGATTAAAGAGAGTCACTTTAGATGGTTTGGTCACATTAAATGGAGGACTTCTAATGACTCGGTAATGAAAGTTGAGGTATTATATTTGACTTATATTAAGAAAGGTGGAGGTAGACCTAAGCATCTTCATCTCTACAACACTTAACTTAATATTATGCTTCTCTTTCAATGTCAAACATTCGGCACCATAAAATTATAAAGTTGTTTTTGCTTAGGTGGATGAGTGGCTTGAACCTTAGAGATAGGATACAAAATGAGCATATACATAATAAGGTTGCAGTAGCTCTAGTGGAAGATAAGATTAGAGAGAGTCGCTTTAGATGGTTTGGTCATATTAAACGGAGGCCTTCTGATGACCCGGTAAGGAAAGTTGAAGTATTAGATTTGACTTATTTTAAGAAAGGTAGAGGTAGACCTAAGCATCCTCATCTTTGTAACACTTAACTTAGTATTATGCTTCTCTTTTAATGGCCAACATTCGACACCATAAAATTTTGAAGTTATTTTTGCTTGGGTGGATGAGTGGCTTGACCCTTATAGATAGGATACAAATTGAAATGAGCATATACGTGATAAGGTTGGAGTAGCTCCAGTGGAAGATAAGATTAGAGAGAGTCACTTTAGATGGTTTGGTCACATTAAATGGAGGCCTTCTAATGACCCGGTAAGGAAAGTTGAGGTATTAGATTTGACTTATGTTAAGAAAGATAGAGGTAGACCTAAACATCTTCATCATGTTTGAATGAGAGCATCCATGACTTAAGAATGATCCTTGATGTAATCCAAACGAAATAAGAAAATACTTAGTCAAACCACCTTGTGTTTGATTACAAGTAATAGCTCCTGCATACATATCTTTAATGATTTGAATATAAGCATTATTTACTCCTTTTTTTCAAGAACTAGCACTTCTCTTGGAACTTTATCATATGCTTTCTCTAAATCAATAAATATCATATGAGATGGTTGTGAGACCTACAATGCATTCCAATTAAAGTAAAGTACACTTATTAGAAAGTATAGCACGTACACTTATTCAGGGTGCATATCTTCTAATAATTGTTTTCATAACTATATAGGGGGATGTTTGCTTCAACGTCCAAATGACTATCCAAGAAGAGAGATATTGGATATATAACAAATTATTATCGGGTCGAAGAGGATTAACAGATAAATTTATATAGAGAGTTGAGACTTTCATTCAAGTTACATCTCAAGTGCCTTCCTTTAAGTTCAATAAAATATTTAGATGTCCATGTTCGAAGCATAAAAATCAAGCATTCCTTAAGCCCGATGATGTGAAGCTTGATTTATATCGTAAAAGATTTCTTCCACACTACTGGATTTGGACATCACATGGTGAGTACGAGCCACACAAAGATACTCATGTCGGTCCATCCACAACTTATAAAACATTTGATAAAGATCAAATAAGTAGACCGCATGAAGAACTTATTTTTGATGTAGTAGATCCTGATTTAAGGGCTAGTGTGAAAGAGCCACCAAATATAGAAACTAAAAAAATCTTTAAGTTACTGCATGCAGCTCAAACACTAATTTAGGACGGTTGCAATACTCATTCATAATTGTCGATTACAATAAGGATACTAAGTATTAAAGCTGAGTATAATATTCCTCATGATTATTTCAATAACTTCATTGGTCTTCTCAAGGAAACTAATCTAACAGATAATTTAATTCTCTCAAATTTGTACCGAACGAAGAAGTTAATATCAAAGTTGTGTCTCACTGCTATAAAAATTGATTATTGTATCAATTAATGTATGTTATAATATAAGGATGATGCAACAAAAATTTATTATTACACCTGTAATGCTCTTTGGTTTAAGCTAAACTCGAGAAAATAACATTGCCAAAAGAAAGATATTCCATATTTCCATTTATTTTATTTATCGATTATTTCAATACTTCAGCGACTCTATGCATCAATGAGTTCAACAAGCTATATGAGATGGCATAAGGAGAAATTAGCAAAAAGTGACATTCTTTCGCATCCATCAGATGCTGAAGCTTGAAAACATTTTGATCCAGTGCATGCTTCATTTGCTGTTGAACCCCATAACATAAGATTGAGATTATGTATCGATGATTTTATCCCATATAGTCAAGCAGCTACACCGTACTCTTATTGGCATTTTATACTAACACCATACAATCTTCCACCAAAGATGTGTATGACTACTCCATACATATTCTTAACACTTATAATATTTGGACCTCATAATCCAAAAGTAAAAATTGATATTTTTTTGTAACCATTAATTGATGATCTCAAGTTATTATGGGAAGAAGGTGTTCTCACA